CATGGGGGTCTCCTCTCTTTGGCTTTTTGATGCTTTTTAGGGGTCGGCAGGGGGGTCGGTTCGCCTTGCGTCGGATTCCACACGACCCGGTCAAACCGCTTGGTTCGAAGTCGCCGGTAAGTAGGCTTGGATGGCCCAACTCTTTGGGCCTTTTTGGGACCAAGGGGATCGATCCCGACCCCATGACCCATCGTGGTTTCACCGCGTACCGCCATGCAGAGCACCAAACCAAAGCCATGCGGAGCGCCCGCGCTCCAGCCAAGCTTTGCCGGTGAGAGCCCAGCGCTGTGCCAGCTCCAACCTCGGCAGGCAAGGCGGAGGGGGAGGTATAGAACGGCATGGTGATGTTCGTCTTTCAGCGAGAAGTTGGAAGGTTTGAGGTTTCAGTTTCAGGTCGTGAAGTGTTTGGCATTATTCTTTCCTGGATGAGCCAAGCGCTCTTGCTGAGTCTCTTCTGACCAAACCAAGATCAGCGGGTTGTTCACTTCAAATGGAGACCGACTGATAGCCCGCGGCGAACCAACTTCAGTCACTTAAACAATAAGTATATATACATGTGTATCTCGCTACTGCTGATTCTAGACCAATTCAGCTCCTGCTGCCAAGTGATTCTTCAAAATGTAGCTCAACCTCCATGTAGTGTTTCACAGCAAGTGGTGCTGATTAACACTTCAGTGTTGAGGCATTTTTAGCTTTCTGGCCTAGTGGACAAGCTAAATCAAAACCGTGCACATGACTCCCCCTTGGCGGGGAAAGGCCCCAAAGGCCCCAGCGTCTTCTCCCCGCACGCCTGCACGAGAGGGGAAGAAGTGTCCCCATTCAGGCGTGTCCGTGAGAGACATTTTGGACCAGCACCACCTGGTCTCACTGGTTGTTGCATTATCCCGGAATCATCCCCGTGAAGACATCCTTTGTAGAAAGTGGAGATGCGACATCAAGCCTGCAAACTCTGGAGTCTTGAGGAGGGTCGGGTCGAGCAGGTCTTGTATGCATCTTTCAGGGAGCAATCATCAAGCCTTTTCTTTGTCTGGGACGAAAATGATCCAGCTGGGTGCTAGGATCCCTTCTCTCGAAGAAAGCAAGTAAGCCCCAGAATCTTCTTCTCTTATAGATGTATACAGGCATGTCATTGCAATCTGATACCAGTACCTACTTACTTGGCTTCTTGATCACCTCCCTTGTTCACATCCGTTCCGTTCCATGTCGCATGTTCCGCATAGAAGATCTTCGGATCACGTCCGTGCTGGGATATCCCATGTTCAGTCACACTTGCTGAAATACTCGTGGATGGCAGGATGGCACCACCTGTTTGGTCTTCGGAAGACTCATGGTCATCCGACATCGTGGCTCTGCCATCCATGTAACCATGATCATTTGCTGGGAGTCTAGATGCAACTCCTGCCCCCCCAAACCTCCTGCGCCATTGACTGGACGAAAAACCGTTGATATCCGTTGATCTCATGGTCCCCCATCCCAGTCTCCCCAAATCTTCCTCCAGCAAGTAGCAGGAGAGCTCGCGCTGCTGTGGACGGCCTGCACAAGACCACTGCACAAGCGGGGAGCAACAACTACCCCGTCGTACCTGCTGATTGGTGGGACAAGTCTTGAGAGGACATGAAGAAAAAACGACCTCGAAAAGAGGCTGGATGGAGATGAACAATGGATGACGAAGTGGCCAATTCATCCGTGAACATCGGGACCCGAAAATGGGATCGGGATCTCCGGAACAGCATCTGCAACTGTAAAGTAGAACACCATGACTACGTGTAGTAAGACGGTATGCTTCTACCCCGTGTCTGATGCTAGATGGTGGACCTCCAACCCAGCCTGTGGCCCAAAGGCTCGTCATAGCCTCCTGCATCTTCCTGCAAGCAAAGTATGAAAAGGCTCAGATTGCTCCCAAACAGCTCCATGCTGACAATGCTGACCTCCCAAAAGGATCAGGCTTAATTCTGACTCTCCTGCAATCTCCTTCATTCACCCCAGCCTACATGTGGGGCCCAAGTCACTTTACAGCCAACTTCACAACCATTTGTACGAAAATGTCATGGGTTTGGTGTCTGCACAGACCTGCATTCAAGGCACAAGGAATTTCATGGTGTTCTTCAAGCTAGCCGTGAAGCTGTATGATTCCTGACCAATCCTTTAAACTTGGCTTCTACTAGGAATCTGCACAACACTCTAGGAAACGGACTAGTCAGTCGAACAAATGGAGGTAACATATCCGCAAAAAAGGGTCCCTTTTTGTTCGGCCAGAGTTGCCAAGGCCTGCTACCGGGCACAAGGTCAACAGGATCGGTGCCTTGCAGAGGGATCTTTCAAGAGCTCCTCCAGCTGCTCCTGGAGCTGATCCAAGAATCCAAAAGCACCCAGAGTTGGACCCAAAAGACCATGGGAACATGTCTATCTAGCTATTCGGCTGGGGTGACTCACATGGAAGGACCTTCGCTTGTCACAACGGAGAAGAAATCCTGAACCTATCTATATGGCGGCGACAACACAGGTTCATCACCCCAGGATCACTATTGTTCTTGGACACTGACCACCAGGGTCCACCGTTGAATTCCGTATTTACGAGCACCCCAAGCACATGTGAGAACCATCCATTCATCCATTCAATGTTGTTCATATTCTTTCACTGCAAGCACTGCAGGGGTTTCAGGCTTACAGATCTTGACCCACAAGCATGGTGTCTAATACATACCTTGGAGCTTCTCAAGTTTGAGCTTGATCCCCTGACCAGGCGGACAAAATGAAACCGATGGCTTTGGGCCTCTGCGCCATCTACTATATGGACTCACCTGTCTCTTTCTCATGTCATACGGACCACCATCCCCTTTGTAGCGCATAACCCCACCCACCAGTTGCAGTCCAGCTCGGCTGCATCGATCTGGAGCTTCCCTGCTTCGGCCGAAGACGAAGCTAACGATGAAAATGTCTGATTTCATGGCACCCCGAAATCCCTGACGAAGACCTAAACAGGCATGTCAATCTATCCATGGTTTTGGAGAAATCGGGATTCGGCCAATATGACTCACCCTGAAAAATCACTTGAGATGATTCAAAAACCCTGTTGTCTTGCCGCCGACAGATGTTGCCCTTCAGACTCCCCCACCCTCCAGTCCCACCTGTTGCAATGATCTGCTTTAGCTCATTCATCACACCTGGGGCCAAGCTGGACCTTTAATCCAACATCAGTGCTTCCACAGGCCGAGAAAAACAACGAATTCAAAAGCTACATGCCCAGCACTGCCATTACCTGGCAGATCGAACTCCTATGGCTGGATCTGTTGTGGGAACATCGACTGCATCCCACGAGCAACCATTTCAAAAAAGGCTATTCTGGGAATTGGGTTCATGCGCATTGACAGAGTCTCCAAGTGGCTAAGCTGCCGAAGTCCAAACAACAGGTTAAGATGAAATTGAACGACGCACCTACAGGTAAACTTTTGCCTAGGATTTTGACTCCACATAAGAATTCCTTGAAGAGCCACCTCACTCAGAGCCCAGGTTCATCTCTCAGCCTCTCAGCTCGCGACCTCGCCGTTGACGCGGAGAAAACGAATCCCCCAACTTCGATTTACCAACCTCGAGCCCAGGCTTCGGGGCCCACGGTACATCGAACGAACGGGGGGGGGGACCCACGGTGCATGAACGGTGGATCGCGGGCCAATGGCCCGGGTGGATTGGTGGTCCAGTCAACCAGTCGGTCCCCAACATGGGCCCGGGGCCCGAAGTGAGAAGGTTGACCCGGTGATGCTGGTCCGACTGGGGAGAATCTCCTGTAGGGCCGTAGGGGTTTGGAACGAGACATGCATGGTCCGCATGGTCTAAAAATGACCTCGGCCACCGTGTTGTGGCAAACATGGCCGGCTCGGCCACTCTCTCTCTGCACCATGCGAAGCTGGCGCACGGCGCCATGCCACCTGTCGACTGACGCGGACATCGAGAACGATGTCCGCCGAAACGCGGGTCGTCCTGGGAGTTGTGCCCCTTGGAATAGGCATCAATTGAACCAAACCAGTTGGGCAGTGGGCCAAAACAACAGCAGGATCATGTGTTACTGGGCCAACCCCTAGATGTTCAAAGGTAAACTCCTCACCTAATCCTTCTAACCACGTGGGATCCGCGGATTTCTCTGCTTTGCTGACAACATTTTCCTACCAGCTCACCAGCTTTGGCGGTAGCTTCGTCACGCACACTTGACAAAAACTCCTAGGTTCGTGAGATGCCTTCATGGCTATAGTATGCTTTAGTACCTACTACCGTGCATGTTGACCAGAAGTGAGCACCTGCCATCCGGGAGAAATCCACAACATTCACATCTGATTCACCATCTTGATTGACAATGGAGTAGACATTTCACCTTTCGAGTAAATGTTTCCTTTACGGCCGTGACTTCCGAATCCATCCGAATCCAGTTGACAGGTAGAACCCATCCCTTAATGTGAAACAATGTGAATCAGAAAACTGTATTGTAGTGGTTCGCTATCAGTCTGTCTAAGTATGCCAAAGACCAAAGCCGACAGGAGCCAAGCCCAGCCAAGCCAGCCATTCTGATGCAGATCTTGGTTTGGCCAACAACGATCCGAATCAAATACAGTATTTAATGTTTGTTTTGGACCCTCTCGAAACATAGACTTTGTCAGCCCATTCCCACCATGTGTCAAATGTGTCAGTTCTCATCTCACCACATTGGTTCATCCACTCTTCTCCTTGTATTTTTTTCACATCAGATCCCAGAACCTGAGCAGGCTCAAGGCCCATGCTTTTCCACGCAAAGGGAAGACCTCGCCCTAGAGGCTGAAACGCTCGTGAGATCGATCGCTGTATGTACATCCGTTCGGAGACAGTGACGTCACTTTTGGAGGGTGGGTTCCACCATGTTCAATCAGAGCGAAAAGCGAAAAGCTTGGATCAGTTCTTCAGATTTTTTCTGGCTCATATCAGGAATCACACCGTTTGCATTGCATCCTTAAAGACTTATATAATTAATATAAAAGAGAAAAACACTCACCCTCACTGCCAGCTGCTCGACCATTGGCTCATCATACCTTGGCCTACCTAAGAGCTTCAGCTTGTTGAAGCTTCGTGGCCTAGCGATGGGAAGCTGACCGCGACGAGCTTACCGCGAACGAGAAGTGGCGGCCCTCGTATTTCCTGTACTGCTTCTCATACAGATATAAAACAAAATGTCAGCTTTCTAGGAGATGCTCAGCGCAATAAACGGGTGGAATGCTCAAAGTCTGTTGCCTGTACACAACGCTCAATGTGGCCTTGGCATGTGATTTCTACTACTCGCCATGGTCAGAACTGTCTGATTGATGGCAAACCCCCATCTCGTCTACCCACATATCAGCCCTGCAACAACTACACCAGGTGCACACCCTGAGCATGGAAACTCAATCCCCTTGTTTCAAAATAACTATATACTGCAATCATGCTCCGGTAGCTAGAACATCCAACTCATCCAAACATTAAAAACCAAATGCAAAAGAGGACTATAAGCAAATTAAAATGTTGGAGATTACATCATAGTAGAATCATATTACATATTCCGCCTATGAAGAAGTCCTTGCCCAGATCCATCCCCACCTGCACGACCAAACACATAGCACCCCCCCAATGCGGTGGACGCCTCCAGCACGGCCTTGCGCGCCAGCAGCCGGATGTCGCCATCGCCGTGGAAGCTGCTGAGCTGGCCTCGGCCCACGCCGCGGCGGGCAGCAAGCTGCAGGAGATCAGTTTGAGGAGGAAAGCCGCCGTTGACTTGGCTAAAGTCATGTGTTCAAGCCTCTTGCGGCGCAAGTGGGTGTTGAAATCCACTTCTATAAAGGAGAATGATAATGTATGCCGACAAAAGTTGTGGTTGTGCAGAATCAATCAAGCAGAAGTGCCTGCGCTGTTCCTACGCAAGAAGAAGTTAATGCTGCCATGCCTCCTCGTGGGACATTTGCATAGATTATTGCCCTTACATTAAGTCAACCTTTTCTCAGCCAAAAAAGCTGAACTGGCATGGCATCTTACAGCTATGATGTTCTGTCAAAGATCAGTTGACTTTTGAACCACTAGATGACTCCACGTCCTCTTTGGCCTCCACTCTAGTCGTGCTATGCTCACTTTCCTGTCCGTCGAGTGTTCCCTTGGTCGGGTTTTGGGTGAATGAGAAGTAGTACTCTTTGACATACCGAATGAGTATTTCGATGTATTTCCTCCATGATGCGTATCATATGAGTCAATGGGTGTGAACTGGTGGCCTGCAAACACCAGTTGAAGAGTGAATGGGCGAGATGGATTTGATTTTCTGCTACATGGCATGTGGGCAAGTACCGGAAGAGGGGTTGGCATTTGTGGTGGAGAGAAGTCTAGCTTCCGTGCAGAATTCCTACATGGGACGAAAAAGGACAAGCGAATTCCCCAACCGACCCAAGCCCTTGGACTGCCAATTGTCCTGGATCCATGTCTAGACTTCTCTTTCCGAAACCCGTCTTCCCGTTTGGACTTCACCGGTGGCCTCCACTCCTCCCCCCCGGCCCAGGTGACGACACGCTGGTGACGAGGTGCGGAAGATGGGCCCCACACCGGTGGCCTCCACAGCCTGCCAGTTCACGTCCTGACCTTCTGGCTGGAGAGAGAGGCTGGAGAGAGAGGGATGAGTTCAGGAATGAGGAATCGAAGAGCAGGAGAGAGGAGCGAGCCAAAACATCCGAGAACGAGAACGTTAAGAGAGGGTGAGCAGTTGGAAAGTGGTCTTTGGGTCAAGAGATGGTTTCTCTCTATTGGCAATCTTGGAGCTAGTGGTCCGTGTCTGCCAGGTTTTGGGAAAAAGGAGGGATGAGGTAATGGTGGCAGGTGGTTAAGCGGTCCATTCTGCCTTTAGTGATGGTGTCACCCTCCACTTCGCCATTGGCAAGATTCTGATCCGGAAGTCCTATGTAGCTGCTACAAGTACAAAGGGGCTAGATTCTGTGGCCCGTTGGCTGTGAGTCGTTTGGCGTGGGAAAGCCGGCACCTGTCCGTTCCTCAGCTGAGCTCCCAGCGTTGCATCTTCAAGATGATGTTGTGCAAGGCCTTCCTCAAAGCGAAGCAAGGCAAGGCAAGAAGCTTTGCACTGCCGTGATCGGGCAGCTGATTGCATATACCCAGCAAGAGGAACATTTGTGAGGTCTCGTGGTGATTGGTCTTCGTCGTCCGTCGGCAGCGTTTTGGTTGACGCGTCTGTCGGGAGGGGGAAGGATCGGTGTTCGCATGTTTTCACAGTTCCAGAACTTGTTGACTCAAGAAATTGCCACGGAGTGTGACTGACTCTGTGCAAAACCAGAGGATCGGTCAACGTGCGGAGGCTACAGCAGACCGGACTTGCACTTTCAATCTGGCCACTGAATTGGTTCATTTTTGTCCAAAACAGGGAGCCCTCCCTTGGGAATAAGAGAAGATGACGTAGAGACAATCAAGGAATGTCCTGCCGTAGCCATGGGGCTCAGGAGTTCACCGTAGTAATCTGTAGGCATCCCCTACAGATCCAGCGTTCAGCCAAGGCACTCGATATCCATTGCATCATCCTTATGCCTCAGAGGACCGTCTTGGACGGCATAAATCAACCTGCGATCATGTCCGCATCCGAAAGCCCAAAACAAGATGCCACCACACAACCGGAAGCTCCCGAAACCTTCCTAACTCCCAAAGGACGAGGCCGACTCTCCAAAGCTCCACAGCACTTCAAGATCCCAAGAAAACGTCCATCCACCACACCAACCAGGGCAGACCAGGGCAGACGGTCCCTTCCTCCCCAACCCTCCCCCTCTCCCGCCGTGCGGCACGGCTGTGCGGAGCTTCACCGCCGCGGAGGCCGCCTCCTGACCGTAGCGCTCCAGCAGCGGCACCTGCCCCACCCCCCCACGTGAAAGCGATGAGAGACCTCAGAGCTCAAAACAGCAGTTCCTGGTCTTCTTTCTTAAGCAAGTCCTGGTCAGTGAGGAAACTGACCCACTTCAGCGAACGCACACTTGAAATGAACGCATGCGGACTGGGCCACATACTAGGCCACCCAAGATCACATACGTGCGGAGGGCTGGAGAAACTCAAGTGTCACACAAAAGGGCTGTGTTTCTGGAAGATCTGCACAGAGAGAGAGGGAGACAGAGCAGTTGCCAAGTGAGAAGCTGAGACCCTTAAAAATTGATGATTCCTACGCGGCGTCGAAGACCCCAGTCTCTTAGGGCTTTGATGGGCTTTGTGTTGACCTAAAGAGTCACGGAAGCTTCCCCCATACACTTTAAAGATCACTGTAAAGTGGGTTGGTCATATCTTTCTCCGGATGTCCATGGCATGGGCCCTCTCCCCTCGTCACCCAGGACTCGTCACCAGCCTGCGGCCTAGCCGGAGGGACCACCAGGACGCCCTCCCAGCGGTGCGAAAGGACTTGAAAAGCCGCTGCAAAGTGGTCGCAACCCGAATTTCAAAACGTTTTTCTGCGCTTCAAGGTGGTTTGGGATGTGCCGGAAGGTGGAGTACACCCCGGTACGTGCCGGCAGGCGATGGCTTTTGGCCAGTGGAAAGATCGAGCGACCGAGCTCAGGGAGGAAGGGCTGATGGTAAGTATGTCAAACGTGGAGGTCACGGGTCAACCTGAGAGAGAAAGGCTTGAAAAGAAGCTCCAAGTTTTGGGGACCAAAGAGCTCTGAGAAGAAAGGCGGGAGAAACGAACTGGAGGATGTCTGCAAGATCTTCATAAGATTTCGCCCCTGAAGGTGCTATGTTCCTGATCATGAGACGTTGCCGTGGTGGAACAAAAAGCCGCGGCATCGCCGATTGCAGTCTATCATTCAAGGGCTACTCAGCTCAAGACATCTTCCTGTGACATGACCATTGTAACACATGTTTCTTGTCCGCCAGGTTGAAAGAATCAGGAGCGCCCCGAATGATTCACAAACTTTCTGTTGCAAAACTGTTCTGAATTTAGGTGGTGTGGTTTTGAGCCGCCCGGCAAACTACTTAACCGTGTGGAAGCCTGGTACAATCAAAACTCATGCTATTCCTCTCCACTTGAATGATTGATTGCATTATATATATATAGAGATATATATATATATTATTGCTGTCAAAGCCCCCTTCAGTTTCCATGCTTATCTTCAACCCTTTCTCTTGATGAACATTTGGAGAAGCTGCTTTTCTAAAGAACCTGGAGCAATTCACAGCCTACGACTGATGGACATCAACTGAGGCCTCTGCCTCGTCTTTTTGAGCCCTTCAAAGGCACACTCGCGCCTCTGGCTCTGCCCTCGGCGGCGGAGTATAGCCGGTGAGCTCCAAGAAACGCCCCGGCCTCGGCGATACAGTAGAACCCACAGATCCCAACCAAGAGACGAAATCCGGACGGAGTCTCCCGACTGTTCAAATCTGCTCCACGATGGGGAAAAGCTTGAAAAACTCGTTTTGGGTGATTGATCAGCAGCTCCAAAAGAAGTGTCCCTTCACGACGAGCAACTTTGAATCTCTTTCATCAATCCGCTGCAATCGAAGAGCCACAGCCTAGCACTGACTGACTGACTGACGCTTCTGTGGCGCTAGTGCGACGCTTAGTGGACAGTTTCAACGTTGTGGAATGAGGAATCGTCCAAAACATGTTAAACATGCCCAAGGATGTTGGAACTGGGTTGAGACGACACGACAGGCCAAGTGAAATGTTAAATGGATCTTGGATCTTGGCCCAGTGGCGGATCTGGTTTTAGGTCTCCCAGCCTCAAAACCTCACCAAGTCCCACACCGGGACGACATGCGGAAGAAGGGCCCTTCGAATGAGACCTCAGGCCTCAGACCTGCGACACCTCACGCCTCAAGGTGCGGTGGGAACTCTTCACCCGATCTGCCTTGGGGGTTCACCATCCTCGTGGTGGCTGCCAGGAGCCCCACTTGGTGGCTGCCTGGGGCTTCTGGACATCTTCACCTGGGGCTTCTGGACATTGCTCGCTCCTTGCTTCAGATCGTTCAGTCCACGGCTGAAAGGCGTCAACAAGACGAAGCGGCGAAGCATCGCTTCCCCATCTCCTTTGGCCCATTCATCTACTGTCCTTTCTGTTGCCCCAAGCTGTCGCACTCGGTCCAGCTTTTCCTTCTACTCGACGGTCACTTCCCTGGTGCGTGTCCCCCTCTCACTGAAGTGTCTCTCGGACCCTGCACTTGCCAATCAAAAGGTCATTTGATAAGAAAAATGCAACTCCAATGGCCACACCGCCCTGGAGCTTTGGCTCACATACGGCGTCGCGGAATCCGAGGGAACGGCGCCTGGCAGCGGCGCAGGAGGGGTCTCAGCTCCTGGTCCTTGGCGGCCTTGAAGCGAACGGGAGCTGCTACCCCGGGTCGTTGGTTGGAATAGACTGATGGAGTGTGAACAACACTAGTCACCTTTGTCTGAAAAAAGAGGGTGAGATCTGTTCCCATCCCCGCCGTCAAACCTCTGACAATGGGAGCTAAATCTGCACGAGTTGACAGATCAGGTGCATCTCCGACGCCGGGCGCGCGGCGGGCACGCGCCCGGCATCCTGCCACCCGGCACGGCGGCACGTGGCCTGTGTCAGGAGGCGCCACCCTGCAGTTTGCACCCGGGCATTGCAGCTATGCAATTCCTGGGTGGCCAACGCAAGATAGGTTCTGCCTCGAGCTATACCACCTGGTCATTATATTCCGCCAAAACTGTTCCACAAGAATCCAGAAGATATATCTTTCACATTCACGGATCAGGCGGCCTGGAGTCAAAGTAATATATATGTAAAGATGTTCCAGTTCCTCCTTTTTGGACCACTTCGCAGCTATTTGT